ATGTTTTCGGTTAGAATATAAAATTAATAAATTAATTTAAAAAATAATGTCGATTACCCGGTAGGAGCGCAGGCTGAGAATGGCGTTGTCATGACTGGATCACTACCCTGTCAATCAGTCATGCCCTCTCTACGTACCTTACGTGTTTATTGGAGAAACAGGCCCTCTTATATCAGATAGGCATCAACATGTCAGCGGGAGGGGTACCGAGGGTCATCGTCTTCGTCTTTCGGAATTACCATTATTACGGCAAAAGATGAACAGCACAGTGCAAGACATGTGGCATAAACATCTCGGACAGCCAGGCGACAACTTCAAACTTTGTTCATCATTTGAAGAGCCATTCTGCCCATTAAGTGCTTGTCAATTAGCTAATATTATCTGTTTAGTCAGTAGTTAGCTAACGTTAGCTTATACCATACGGGGGTGGGGTGGGTGGTTGGTTGGGTTTGGTGGAACTTGTTTTTTAATTTATTTGCTAACATTAACCCCAGAAAACGTGAGCGAACATTCCGACCGGTTCATCACAAGACCGGCTGTACGTTTTATGAACGAGCAACACAGGGTTAAATGAGCTAAATGGGTGATTTTGGCCGCTGCCTTGGTTAGTGTGTGTGTGTGTGTGTGTGTGCGCACACGCATGGGGGTCGTCCCTGCAAAGTAAACATTGCAGCGATGAAGTCAATGTTTACTGACAGTTACTTAAATCTTGTCTTTTCACTTTATTAAGATCAGATTCTGCAGGTAAAATTATAATAATAAGGTGACTTGACTTGGACTTGACTTACTACAGGACTTGACTTGACTTGACATAACCTATGACTTGACTTGACTTGACATAACCTGTGACTTGACTTGACTTGACTTGCCCAAGAAAAAATGACTTGGGACTTACTTGAGACTTGAAGGTTAAGACTTGAGACTTGCACATGTGTGACTTGGTCCCATCTCTGGCATAAACCCCCGCCCATGAATATCCAATGACCACCATATAAGGAGGTGTAGGTGCATCCAGTTGACCTGTCAGTCATGGCGCAAAGAAAGAAAGAGAGAGAAAGAAAAAACAATTTTTCCGAAGCGGAGATCGAAATAATTTTGGGTGAAGTGGACTTAAGAAAAAACATTTTATTTTCTTCAGTTAGTAGTGGTGTGACAGGGACGGGCAAAGTGAAGGCCTGGAGGGAGGTAACAGATGTTGTTAATGTTGTCTCTGTAGTACAAAGAACCATGTCAGAGTTGAAGCATAAATGGTTTGATATGAAACTGAAGGCAAAGAAATGCATTAGCACACACAAAAAAAATACAGCGGTCACCAAACAAACAGAAGATTCATTTGTGGGAACAGGAAACCAGAGATGTTCTGTGCGTAATGGATGAACTCTAGATCAGTGATGGCTGTCGGAATGTAGAGCTATTTAACATTTATTTTAACAAATGATACGGATAACATATAGCCTACAGCAGTTTTGTATGCATCATCTTCAAATTATTTGAATCTTAATAGCCTAAAGCTCTGTTTTATACAACTTAACTTAAACATTTTTCAAATCAGATTTATTCATACAAATGATCAAAAAGCCACAAAAAAACAAAACAAAACAAAACAAAAAACGTGTTGTCTCAAATAATTCTTTCAGCTGGCGCGTGCTCCTTCGTAGCTCCCCCACCTGCTGCTCCTGCTGGACCCAGGCACCGAGGCCGACGAGGCTGTGATCCGGCTGTCCTTACGGATATTTTTATTATCATCATTCAACATGTAGAAAGAACGTGTAATCTATTGAGTCGATTTACATAGATAATTCACAATCATGAATCTAACCTGGATCTTAAACCTGCTAATTGCCAACTAATTTAACTAAATGTGTTGTAATTTTAATATTTTTGTCATGTTTAGATTACGTGTTTCAAAGGCATCTGCGTACTGTGTACATAACAGAGCGCAATACGAATTAAAATAGTAATTTCCAGTAGTGAAAAGCAATATTTATGTGCTTTACTACATTTACACAAGCACTACGAGTGGTCAGGAGTAGATTTTGTTAGTAGCTACGAAAAGATCGGAGCTACTAAAATATTGATGAATGCGGACACACATATAAATTTCCGTCTGCGAACAGTTTACACACAAATTCCTTCTGCTCACGTTTCATGAATGAGACCCAGTATGTTTTATTTTTTAATACTTATTTTTTTAAACTTTTTTTGTTTTAGTTTTATTCTACTAGTTTTAGTGTTTTTATTTTTTACTTTTTTTGTTGTTTTAGTTTAGTTTTACTAGTTTTGGTGTTTTTTGTTTACTTTGTTTTAGTTTAGTTTTACTAGTTTCAGTAATTGTTTAAATTCTATTTTATTTACTTATTTTGTTTTAGTTTTGTTTTACTAGTTTGTGTTTTTATTTTTTTGTTGTTTTAGTTTAGTTTTTCTAGTTGTAGTATGTTTTTATTTTTTGTTTTAGTTTTACTAGTTTCAATATGTTTTTATTTACTTATTTTGTTTTACTAGTTTTAGTATGTTTTTATTTATTTTATTTACTTTTTAGTTTTAGTTTTGTTTTACTAGTTTTAGTATTTTTTTCTTTACTTTTTTGTTGTTTTAGTTTTGTTTTACAAGTTTTAGTATGTTTTTATTTTATTTACTTTTTAGTTTTAGTTTTGTTTTACTAGTTTCAGTATGTTTTTATTTATTTTCAACTTTTTTCTTGTCTTACTTTAGTTTAACTGGTTTTAGTATGTTTTCATTTATTCTATTTTTTTGTCTTTACTTTTTGCTGTTTTAGTTTAGTTTTACTAGTTTTAGTATGTTTTGTATTTTTACTGTTTTTGTTGTTTGGATCTGATTTATATTAATTTGTCTTGTTTTGTAAATGGGCTGGTTATATTTAACAAGAAAATTAAAAAAGAATCATGATCATTGATATAAAACACCAGATACAAACATGATGTTGAGCAGGAAGACTCTTTATTTGCACCTCATTTCAACTGCAGTCACTTTTAAATGTCCCTCTTTACAAAGTACAGACTAGATTTAGATACATACTGGAGGATCGGAGCACCACTGAAGACTTTGAGTGCTGTTCAGGGTCGGAGGTCTTCAGCTGCATAAAGACACGTAATTTCAGCACACGGCTCATCATCTGTCCTTTGTTCAAGTATTCAGATCCAGTATAATGAAGACTGATTGTGTAACTGGTTTAAAGTTGTTGAATGTAATAATGATGAACGATGCTTTTAATGATACTAATTATTATACCATGGGTTTCAGGGTCATTGTCAATAATAAAAGAAAACAGGAAGCAGAAAAATACCAGCGTTTGTTAGTGAAAAGAACTTTTAAATGTTCTTACAGTGAGTCACATTCTCTTCTTTTAATAGACAGATAGCTCTGAGGTCCAGGTGGTTGAGTTATTGTGTTCAGATGCAGATTAATGATCATGTACTTTTTGTGAATATAACACAATGGCTAAGCCGTTAGCAGAACAGTTTCACCCTCTGACCTTAAAATATTCTATTCCAACCAGAAGTAAATTTGTTTTTGACATTGGAATATGTAAGAATGAATCAGCAGGAGCTTAACAGTATGTAAAACTCAGTATTATCACTATATACTGCAACCTCCAAAATGACCATGTCCTCCTGAGACCCGAACTTTTGTTAGTCCGCATTTTTAATTTCTCCTAGTTATTTGGGATCAGTAGGACCTGATACGTATAAAAAATCAAATATTGTCAATGATAATAAAGTCCCAATGTCCTCAAACGAGACGATGATAAAGTCCCAATGTCCTCAAACGAGACAACAATAAAGTCCTCAAACGAGACAATGATAAAGTCCCAGTGTCCTCAAACGAGACGACAATAAAGTCCTCAAACGAGACAACAATAAAGTCCAAATGTCCTCAAACGAGACGACAATAAAGTCCTCAAACGAGACGATGATAAAGTCCCAATGTCCTCAAACAAGACGATAATAAAGTCCCAATATCCTCAAACGAGACAACAAAGTCCCAATGTCCTCAAACGAGACGATAATAAAGTCCCAATATCCTCAAACGAGACAACAAAGTCCCAATGTCCTCAAACCAGACAAAAACGAAGTCCCAATGTCCTCAAACGAGACAATAATAAAGTCCCAATGTCTTCAAACGAGACAACAATAAAGTCCCAATGTCCTCAAACGAGACAACAAAGTCCCAATGTCCTCAAACAAGACAAAAACGAAGTCCCAATGTCCTCAAACGAGACAACAATAAAGTCCCAATGTCCTCAAACGAGACAACAAAGTCCCAATGTCCTCAAACAAGACAAAAACGAAGTCCCAATGTCCTCAAACGAGACAACAATAAAGTCCCAATGTCCTCAAACGAGACAACAAAGTCCCAATGTCCTCAAACAAGACAAAAACGAAGTCCCAATGTCCTCAAACGAGACAACAATAAAGTCCCAATGTCCTCAAACGAGACAACAAAGTCCCAATGTCCTCAAACAAGACAAAAACGAAGTCCCAATGTCTTCAAACGAGACAACAATAAAGTCCCAATGTCCTCAAACGAGACAACAAAGTCCCAATGTCCTCAAACAAGACAAAAACGAAGTCCCAATGTCCTCAAACGAGACAACAATAAAGTCCCAATGTCCTCAAATGAGACAACAAAGTCCCAATGTCCTCAAACAAGACAAAAACGAAGTCCCAATGTCCTCAAACGAGACAACAATAAAGTCCCAATGTCCTCAAA